TAACTGATTTATTTATTGGACGGTGTTTTGGTGGCATGTCTAGGAAAAAGCGAACACGTCGAAAATTCCCGTTTGGTTTTGCGTCTGCCCTGGATGACTCTGCCAATGTGATTGCTTTACTGCTAGGTTCGTGTTTATGAAAACATCAAGACTTTGAATTCTTTAACCATAATGCTCCAAGAAATTGTTTTTCTATAGTGCTACGAGTGGATTTCGATGCACGATATCTTCATGTCCTTGTCAGTTCGATAACGTGAGAGTTCATTTTCCTAGCTTACTTCGTTAATTCCTCAGAAAGAGCCCCCGACGCCAGCATAGTTCGTTATAAGTATTGGTCTTTACTATAATGCTCTCAGATGTTGACAGATTCTAAATTCTCTACGATTTCACTCATCTCTATTTGGACGCTAGGCCAAAGGTTGCATTATCGGGGCTGCATCGGGATCAACAATATCGAAATTTTATTTTTATTGGCCTTGATAAGTGGTTCTCTAAATCTAGCGTGTTCAGTATTTAGGCCTACAAAAACTTTTTGGTTTGAGGCGACACTGAAACGGTTCTCAGGTTCTTTACGGTCATTTTTACATAGGAGGGAATCGACTATACAGCAGTGGGTTGCTCCTCGTTTGTTACCCCTCTACCATCCCTCGTATCGATCATCTGGGAACAACAACAAAGCGTTAGAACTAAACTAACTGGTTTCACATTTCCCGGTTGGTAGTAAGCGTCATAAAAATCGACAGACGCCATCATTAATCACTGCGCTGTCCCCGCCCCAGCTGTCTTCTCAAATCCACGTGGAACCCCTCAGTTCAGCTCTTCCTAAAATTGCAAGAAAAATTGGCACGACCAGTATTCGACGGCATTCATAAAGAAGGCGAAATCTTGAATTAACGAGTGGAACAACATGCAAAATGTTCAAAGACCACTGTGGTTGTTGCCTGCGAGGAAACGAATCGAATGCAAGAAGTGGTGGGATCAGCGCAGTAAATGTGATGACGGATCATGTAAAAAAATCAACAGTCAGCAGATTTTTTAACTGTGCACTCTTCTTGGAGCGCGTGAAAAGCAGTGGTTAGACGCTCTCTGCTGTACCCATATGGTGTTTGGCTCGATTCAGGCCTCTTGGCTAACTATGCCCCCCTCCCCCAGCACTTCTGGATTGTGAGGTTTTGTTGACTGACTTGTGTTTGACTTGATGTCAACACAAGGCATTGTGTAGGCCAACAACACATTTAGTTGGTCTCACGACGCGTATTGGAATGGGGTATGCGGCCCATCCTTAAGAGATAGATCAACGCCAAACATTAATTTATGGTCTTATTGTAACGAAATGGTTAGCGGCGAAGTGTATCGGTTCAGATTGATGTAGAATATTAGCCACGCGGGTCTTTTAGCTGTCGTAGTTGATCTACCGGCTTCAAACTTGGGTAATTAAACCTTTAATACATAAATACAACACTGATAACATGATAGTAACGATAGAGAAGTAAAGGTAGAGGAATGACACAAGTTAGAGCTCTGAGGTGCTAAGGTCTGTAGTGAAGTGAGGCTGAGGCAATGGCATTCAAACAATATTATACCATTAATACAATATTAACAATAATAATGAGATTACAACGAAGTAGCCTTTGCTTAGCCGTAAGCGATGCCGCGCCGCGTCTATTCGCGGCCGGCGCTGCAAGCTGAGGAAGACAGTATACTGGGGCGGAGGGAGGAGACTGTATGCCGCGGAGATGGAGACAGTATGCTGAGGTGGTGAGGGTTACAGACTGGCCGTGTTTCGGCCAAGCTAAGATTTCAACATTATAGCGATGAGGAACATTTCAGTGGATCGATGAGGACTGTAAGTTACATGATCGTTGACGGTGCTATGGACAGTGAATGATGAGTCATCTACGGAACACAGTCAGGCGGCTAACGCTATGTCAGCAACGTGAACTTTGAGCATCGATGGGTGCCACCATTGCCTAAGGGTCAAGGGCCACTATGACAAATGGCTACAAAACCGATAAGCCTATAGCGGTTTAGCAGAATACATAGCATAAGCTGGCCACTTAGCGGCATTGTACACATTGCGTGTACATTGTGGGAGGAATGGTACATGCCACCGATGGCGTTGCAAACAGAACGCATTTGGTAACACCCGCGACTACTGACATCGCACCGTAAACAAGCTGAGAAACGAGATACAATAATCTGCTGATTGCTGAATGATGAATGCGAATGTGAAAATGAATGTGATTGAAGGAGAATGAATGAGTATGACTAAAAATGAGTTGAGGTGATTGAGGATGTGGTTGTGAGGAGCGGATTATCCGCGCTACCGATCGGGGGTAAGGTGAGTGATGGCATGTCTCCGCCGTCGAAGGCACCTGGCTTATATCGGCTGCGGGAGCCGCGAGCGTGTGCAACCGCGGTTAATCTGGATTGTTGATCCTGGACCGCAATAGACTGTACCTAACTGCCTGAAACATCAAACGTCATTAGCTTCGTTGTTTCGCGAGGAAGTAGTAAACTGTTCCATGGTTACGCCTCCTTCGGATAAGCCATCGTTGCTATGCTACTGAAGTCAAACCTGAATCGCTATTGTGCCTGAAACATTGAACATAATTGATCGAGAAGATTAGAAAAGGTTACATTGCGGTGTTTGATGTGCGAGTGCGAGGCGGCCATATTTGGACTTCAAATACTATTATTTAGATAGATAGAGAACTTTTCAAGGGGGAAGTTCTCTATACTTATAAACTAATTTTGTTGAGCTGGTGCGAGATTGGTATACGACTTCGTTGTCGTTGTTGTTGTCTTTGTGATTGCTGTCGGTGTTGTTGGTCAATGGCTGACGTTTCGGCGATTTCGCCTTCCTCAGAGCCGCGCTGTTACGAGTGAGGGTTCCACTCGCCGAAACGTTAACCATCGACCAACAATACCAACAGCTACGACGACAACAACGACAACGACAACGAAGTCGTATACCAATCTCGCACCAGCACAACGAGATCATTTTATAAGACCATGAAATGACAAAGGATAAAGCTCTCGGCGTTAATCAATTTCTAAGGATTCAACATCATTAAACATCGTTTAGAGGTGAATGAATGCATATCTGGCCTTTATAATGGCTACCAGTAATCTACCGATGTATCGGGCCAGTGCTGTTATCCTCCTAGACAAGTCTGGTATCAATTTACCGACCCCGAAGGGGTGGAAGGCTTGGTGGGCCGTGGGCGCGAGGATCGACGTGTGTGTTGCAGGGCGCCTCCGACCACTACTCCACACGCGCCCTTTATAAGATCATATAGGTAAAAATATCGACTATTTATGTCGAGGTTTATAGAAAGTCGGTTTTTTGAATTACAACGCCAAATACTTCACATTTTGCCCTTCTCTTCATTACCTGTATCACTTGTAGTCCCGTTTATCGTCGAGTGACTTGAGCGAGCGCCAGTAAATCTTTCATTTTTTCCTGTCCTGTGCAAGGGTAGCCCAGTGGGTTCTGCTCGCTCTAGGTGCTCGTCGAGCATCATATCTTTCTTTTAGGCTCTTCGTGAAAAACTTTGACCTTCGAGTCAGTGGTCTTCCTGCAGTACGTTTAACATCCCGAGGAATCCAGTCACTAACGGCTCTTGTCCATCGGTTTTCATCCATACGCATTACGTGTCCGGCCACTTTATCTTCGACTGTTTGGCGCACGGAACGGCATCTCTGATTTTGAATCGTTGACGCAGGTCGGAGCTTCGGATCCCATCCCTTACTTGTGCGGAATGGGATACTCCTAGCGTCGTCCTTTCGACTGCGCGTTCGATAACGCTGAGTGACCTTTCCTCCTACTATCGCAGCAACCAGGTCTCTGACGCATACGTTAGGGCAGGAAGCACCGTTGAGTCGAAAAGGTGGGCACAGAGTCGAGTGTTCTTTGTCCTCTTCACTACATCCTCGATGCTCTTGAAAGCTTCCCAAGCCGCTGGTCTCCTTCTGCTCAACTCTGGAGGTAAGCCGTTCAACATGTTGATTTCTCGACCTTAGACACAACTGGAGCATCTGGAAATATTCGTTCTGTTCAGCGTGAATGGGGCATACGAAACCAATGCGTTCCTCATTGACATCGTTTTTGTGAGATTTAGTCGAAGAGCAATTTTTCCATAGGCTTTATCAAACTCGCCAAGCATACGTTCGGCTTAGCTAATGTTTAGTGTTAAAAGGACGATGTCATCAGCAAAGCGAAGGTGGTGTAACTGCCGGCGATCGATTTTCGCTCCCATATTATCCCATTCCAATGTTCGCATGATGTTCTGGAGGGTGATAACTTTGGCGAGATGGCACCACCTTGCCTAATTCCTCTTTTGACGTCAATGTTAATATCGTTGTAGAATAATGATGTCTTGGTTGTGAAATTTTTTTATAGCTCACGAAGACTCTTTATGCACTGAGTAGGGACTCCTTGACTGTCGATGGCTTTCATGACTGCTTCTATCTTAATTGAACCACAGGCCTTCTGTAAATCGATGAAAGTGAGACAGAGCGGTCTTCTGTACTCTCGCCATACTTCAGTGAGCCTTGTTATTGTGTGGAGGTAGTCCATCGGACTAAATCCTTTTCGAAACCCTCCTTACTCACATGGCTGTCCTTCGTTCAGTGTTCTGTCAATCCTGTTTAGAATGACCCGAGTGAAAATTTGTAGACGATGGACAGCAAGCAGATTGGGCGATAGTTGCCGATATCGCGGAGGCCACCCTTCTTGAACATTAGCACGATCTTGCTGGTCTTCCACTGAGTAGAATCCTTGCATTCAGACATGTAACTTGTTAAGAACCGAGCCAGTGTGTTTACGAGGACTGGTGGAATGTTCTTCAGTTGTTCAGGTCTTATCCCTTCCAGATCTGGTTCTTTTTATTTTTCACCGACGAAATGGCATGTCGGATTTTGAAAGGAGGAACCAGTGGTATTTTTTTTGCCAAAAATTGGGCATTATCTCTACAAGATTCATAACTGATAAAAATATGGTGAGTTCGCAACCCAATGTGTCACCACTGTACTGGTTTACCCATTTTGTTTTTCTCATTTTTTCTTTTGGTTTCTCTGCATTCCAATTATCTGGTTTTACTTTAACAATCCGTTGGTTATTATTTTCACACCGGTGATTTTTTCGCCAGTCCGGTATCCGTAGCGTGCTCGCCGTGGTGATGTTCGACATGTGAGTACTTTAACATCTTTTTCGCTCAGATTCCTAGCTGGCTTTTCCTCACAACTCGTACGGTTCTCTGCTCCTCCCGTTCTTTTGTAAGTCTCCAAGATCTTCTTCGACTGGAAAAATCTTTACCTGACCACAAATTCACTACCGTGTTTTCTAATACTAGTTCCGAGTATTTTGCTACAGTTGCCTTTATCTATTTAGACGTGCATTTCTCTCTAATTTCATATGTTTACTTTACGAAGCAACTGCGAAACATTAAAGAAACACTTTTTGTTTCGTGTTTTTAGCAAATCATGCGAAACATTTGCATTTTTTGCTCTTACTATGCACCTTTCCTCATTGCTACCTAATATCTCTATCGTACAGCCTAATCTGCTAGTCAGCGGGCGGATAGAACAGTGGTAGTGGTGTCCATCTTCACGAATATGGTACTAGTTCGATTCCGCTCCGGGCCAACCAAGCCTCTCATCCAGGGTCGGGAAATTGGTAGCGGACTTGTCAAAATCACCCTCTGCAATCCACCTGCGAAGGCTCTAGTCCGGCTATCCCAAGACTCCAGGGAGAATTGCTCGACCAGCATTCTACGGAATTCAAAATGAAATAAAAATCGTCAAGCAGCAACTTAAGCCACACGTTAAAAATTTAGAAGGTTTTCGTGTACATTGGATCCCAGGCAACGAATCGAATGTGAGAGGTGCTGGGACCCGCACAGTAGACGTGAAGACGGTTAATATAAAATATAAAATAAAATAAAAACGGCCTAATCAAAAAAAGAAAAGAGAGAAATGCTGTTCAGATAGAGTTTTCTGTTTGACACAACCTTTCTAACAGAGGTGGACTCCGATACCAACAACGTCTACGCAGAAAAGATTTTGTAGATAAAAAAGGTATTTGTGAGAATGTGTATGTCAACACTTTAGATATCCTAGCTTTTTCACTTATCTTGTTTTAAACCATTATGGAAAACTGCTAATCAGCTGATTTTATCTTATTCACAGTGGAATTGAATCAAATGAGAATCCGAGCTACCACCTTCTTACTACATGAGTGCACAGGCCAAACTAAGCGCAGTTTTTAAATCTTTTTCTCTTAATCCTTAAGACGATTTCTGATCAGCACCGCAACAATTGAACATATTTTAATATTGAGTTGTATTTCTACTCTTCTAGTAGGAGTGAAAAGGCATCTAGTAGGAGTGAAAAGGCGCGTGTGGCGCAGTGGTCGGAGGCATCCTGCAACATACACGTAGGATCGATCCTCATGTCCATGGCTCACTAAGCCATCCATCTCTCTAAGGTTGCCAAATTGGTGCCAGACTTGCTTGGGAGGATAGCAGCATTGGCTCCATACATTGGTAGGCCACCGCGAATCATTGTAAAAGCCAGATATGCATTCAATCGCCTCCGACGATACTTAATGAAGTCGAATTCTTGGCGAATCCCTCAAAGATTGGTCAACGCCGAGAACTATGCTTTTTTTTAAATAGTAGTGGCCTTTATTCACCAAATTTCAGAATGGTTTTTTTAAATACAATATCTTTTATGTAAACGCGCAAAACATAAACTTCTTTCAGCATTCTGCAGCTGCTTCACCTAGGTGCTACTCAACTGAACAAAATTGTTCCGCCAGTGTTCCGCAATTGTTCCAATATTTTCATTCCCGGAAAAGATGAGAAGTACGCATTATGCAATATCACAACTGGGGATTCACCATGCGCACTACTGGAAGTGGGTGACATTTTTCTTGTCGTGATTTTCTTTAGCCTGTTAGTGACGATTATATTGCAAATAGTTCAATGTTTCATTCTTGAGCAGGCACAAGGTTGTTGATAGCAGGATATGCTTAATGCTGGATGGAGGTTCAGCGGTATCGCCTTCTTTAGAGCTTGGAAGGGTCGAATTAACATCGAATGTACTAGTCAAATACTCTCATAACATAAGCAGAAAAAAACTGAACGCATAAATTTCATTCGCATGGTAAGCAGCTTCTTTTAAACGTCACTCTCTACCTGTTTGTATCATTGTATCTTGTCCTTCTATCTTTATCTATCTGTATCTTTATCCATTGATTTGAAAGAGAAGGGAATACCTATTAATGGACAATTTCTATTTGATCTTCCTTTCGTGGATGACATCGTCATCTTTCCGAGCATTATCGGTGAAACAGAGACGATGCTCAATGAATGCATCGAAGCAGGATAAAGAATAGGCTACACATAAGTAGGACGAAGAGCCAATTCATGAAGAGCTTGTGGTACGAAGATAAATAAATTGAACTGGGTAGTTCTCTGACTACAGTGTTCACCTGCTACGTGTACCCTGGTCGTTCAATGAACAAAGGACTTAAAGGAAGAATTAGACAGAAGAAAGAGGACACCTTGGACCGCATTCGAGCCTCTCAGAAAAGATGCCGACCAACTAAGGGACACGAAAATCCGTGCTTGCCTTGATTTAACAGTACTCCTTGCGCCCCGTTATGCAACAGAGGCGTTAGCTTATACTTCACGGACTTCAAGAAATCTGCACGCCACTCAGAGATCTTGAACGATTTCATGTGGAAACTAACGTCTGGCCAGAATGGGCCGCTCAGGTCTTGGAAACCTTGGCCATCTTCGGAATCATGGAGACTATACATCGACCAATGCACAGACGAATCGGTCGCATAATTAGAAGAAGAAATAGTAGGTGGACGAAAAGAATAGTGGAGGGAACTTCTAGAGAGTCCAACTGTTCTTTTGGAAGACCACCCAACTCATGGGCAGACGCGTTCCGACGTGGGGCTAAAGTCAACCATCTTCACCCGCAGGTGGAAACGTTTTTAGGAATTCGAAATGGGTCTTGCAGACGTCCCAATGTTCGAGCCAGATCACCACTATAGACGACGATTGAGGGAGAAAGAAATGTAAGAAAATTATGCTTGGCCCTGCACTACTAGTGAAGAGGAGCCATCCAGGTATTCACGTATGTCCTTATCTATCATCTTTATCAGCTGCTGTCCCGTTGATGGTCGAGTGACTCGAGCGGGTGCCAATAATCTTCTCTTTCTCTGTCGCGCGCAAGAGTGGTCCAGTCAGTTTTGCTCGCTCTAAGGTCTCGTTGAGTATCATATTTTTTTCTAAGGTTTTCGGTAAACAACTCTGTCCATCGGATCAGTTCTCTTCTTGCAGTGTGTTTGCCATGGCGAGGAAGCCAGCCACTAACGGCTTCTTTCCATCGGTTGTCGTTCATACTCGTTATGTGTCCGACCTACCTTGTCTTTGACTGTTTGGCCTACAGAACGGCGTCTTTGATTTGTGATCCTTGACGTATGTCGGAGCTTCGGATCCCCTCCTTCACCAGCGTGGTAGGCGGTAAACATCTTTCTTTTGGCTTCGCGTTTAATAGCACTGAGTGATCTTTCATTCTGCTTACGTAGCGATCAGGTTTTTGATGCATGCGTTAAGGCAGGAAGAATTGACATAAGAAACCAATCCGTTCCTCATGAACATCGTTTTTGTGAGATTTAGTGGAAGACCAATGTTTCCACACGCTTTACCAAAGTAGACTAACATTCGTGCCACTTCGCTAATATTTGGTGTTATGAGAACAATGCTATCAGCAAAACGAAGATAGTGTAACTGCCAACCATCGATTTTCACTCCCATATTATCTCATTCTAATGTTCGCATGACGCTTTGGAGGGTGGCGGTAAATAATTTTGACGAGATGGTGTCGCCTTGCCTAACCCCTCTTTTGACATCAATGATAATATCGTTGTGAAATGATGATATTTTGCTTCTGAGATTTTTATACAACTCGCAAAGAATCTTTATATTCTGACTTGAGACACCCTGGCTGTCCACAGATTCCGTTACTGCTTCTATCTCAATTGAGTCAAAGGCCTGTAAATCGATGAACGTGGAACAGAGCGGTCTTTTGTACTCTCGCGATACTTCAGTGAGTCTTGTTATGGTGTGGATGTGGTCCATCGTACTAAATCCTTTTTGAAACTCTGCTTGCTCATTTGGCTCTCCTTCGTCCAGTGTTCTGTCAATCCAGTTTAGAATGACTCGAATGGAAGGTTTGTAGACAACGGGCAGCAAGCATTTTGGACGGCAGTTGCCGGTATCGTGCACCTTCATAAACAATAGCACAGTCTTCCTGGTCTTCCGTCGAACGGTAATCTTGCATTCTGACAAGAAACTTGTGATGACTCGAGCCGCTATGCTTGAGGACTGGTAGGAGGTCTTTCAGATGTTCAGACCTTATACTGTCCGAAACAGGTGTGGTTAGATCTTAACCGACGAAGTAACATATCGGATTTCGATAGGGAGAACCGGCAGGACGGCATATCGGTCCCTGTATTTCAAGCGATGGTAGGACGACGTGGCTATTGAAGAGATCTGAGTGGTAATCGTGAATGGTTTTCTTATTGCCTTTCTGGACGATGCTACTGTTCCGTCTGGGTGTCGGAGTTCAACAGTTTTGGTGTCGTAATTGGCGAAGTTTCGATGGTTTTACCGATGCTTCTCCCGGCCTCTGCAGTTTCGACTATAATTGCTGCTTTTTTGTTTTTAAAATCTACTTTTATCGACTGTTTGCATTGTTTTGCAAGATTGAACGTTAGTTCGCGACTGGCTACAGCTCGACTTTCGAACTCTGAGAGCTGAGATGAAGATGCTGAATGAGCCAATCTTAATCGTCGTCGATGTTATCAACAACAACGGCATCATTCCAATACCCGTGTAATGGACAAGTCTCAGTTTATGGTAGTTTTAGGACTTCGTTTATTCAGCTTAGCCTCTTTTTCTTCTTTCTGCGAGACATGAAATCGAAGAACGCGATGGTCTGACTTTGCGTTGAATCTTGGCACAACAGTTGGATCGCTTGTGCAGAACCGATTTATTATTATGTGGTCTGTTTTGTTGTGATACTTTTCACCGGGAGAATGCAGCATCCAGCGTAAAGAACGAGGCTTTTGGAATTGTGATTTACCATGAAGTGTCTAGGTCACTATGATAACCGCGGGCACCCGCTCACCCTAATCTTTACATTATGATTCGTAAGTCCAAATCTAACGTTCTTCTAAATCTTTTTTAACATTCTATAATGGCAGGTTATGTTGCGAAATATAACTCGTATGAAGTGCTGAGATATTTGCAAAACTCCGGACCACAGGTGCATGCAATGGAGAACGAACACGCGCTGTTGTCCTTACCGGGGAGCAGCGCACTTCACCACTACACCATCCGGGTCCTTCGCTTTGCGTGTATCTCAGCTAGTTCTATCGATCTTGGTGTAGTGGTGAAGTGCGCTGCTCCCCGGTAAGGACAACAGCGCGTGTTCGTTCTCCATTGCATGCACCTGTGGTCCGGAGTTTTGCAAATATCTCAGCACTTCATACGAATTCTAATTTTAAATTAATATCTTGAAGAATACGCGGTCCTTTCTGTAGAAGTTTTCCAAGCCCATGTAGAACGCTTCAACTTCGCCTTCGTCATAGTCATGTTGGCGCGTAGGTGACTAAGGTTGTCGAAGCCGATATTGATCCATTCCTCTTCAACCGTAAATGTCCGATTCCGGTTGTTAGTTGTTCGAATGAGTCAATTTTCATAGCCAAATATGTATTGACGGGCTCTCCAAAGCCGCCAGCTCCACTATTGTCGCATGTTTCGCGGAACAGTTCTTATCTAGTGTCATAGACGACGTTGAATGGGTGGGTCTTCTCGTCTCAGCCAGTCCAACGTCATGGTATTTATCCTTCTTGCCTTCATGATCAAGTTCTGTACTGAGAGCTCAGAGACAAGTGAGCGTATTTTTGGTACAGATTGTCACCTTAGTCCTTTGAGATTTGAGCACCCTAGGATGGTCCTGAGATTTTAGCAGCCTTTCCGTACTCATTCTACCCAACGCCGCCGTTTCGGGGCTCTTTCGGGGGCAGGGGAATGAGCTCCATTTATTGTAGTGTGTTTAGCTTTTTGATACCTTCGTATAGTTTGCTCAGGTATCAACGTGATGGCTGGGTACACTCACGGGTAGCTTGCCAACCTCTTCCAGAGTAGACGAGAAGCTTATTTGTTGGAGACACCTTTATCCATATCTTTACTCTTAATAACTTGCAAAAAACAAATCAGTGAATGCTTAAGAGGAGCTGTTTATTACGCGAATGAAATTTATGAACTGGGCCTTTTCTGGTTGGGTTGTGATAGTTTCTAGCTTAGATTTTGTTTCCATTTTCTTTCCAATCTCTGAAGAAGACGAAGCGGCCAAAACGTCAGGTAAATCCTGTGGTTGGAAACTTTACGTCTGTTCAAGATGAAAACGATGGCTTGCTAAACAATACCGAGATTAATAGGATGTTATTCTTGGGAAAAATAATGATAAATTAAAAAATATATAGTGATAAACGAGCAACACTGCTTGCTTGGCACCGAACGCTAGGGATGAGGAACTACAACCTTTCCATTTGAGTAGTGCGTGTCTACTCGGCTTTCTTACCAAAGTACTTTGGTTCATTAACCTCTAATGTTCGTAGCGTAAGAAGTTTGAAAAGTTAACAACGTTTCCAGGAGCTGCATAAAGCGAAGGAGTTTCGCATCTATGGCTTCACTGTTGTTCCGATTGCATTGTCAGCTTTGGCAATGATCTTAAACATTACTTATCTGGCGATTCAGTTGAAAATATATCGGAAAGAGGAGGAGAGGTTTGTTTTATATTCATTCCCAAAAAAACATTTTGTAACCATCGTCGTTGCTATTTTTCTCTAGTGTAATAACATTGGTAAAAGTCTTCACTGTGATCTTAGTCGGTTCATAAATGAAACGATAATTAAGTACTTCATCTAGGAGCTATGAAGATTTACCCATAGCTCCGAGAGATCCATTCAAGTGATTTAACGATGACCTCAATGTGATCAATATGGTGAAAGACGTTTTAGAATCCCAATTACCTACGTGGTTTCATCCAAGAATTTAGACATGCACCCTTATGATCTTCTTTACCTAGTGGAAAGGAAATACAGCAATCGAATCAGACTGTTGTTTGGCCGTTGGTGGATTGTCCGTCCTAAGCAAAATTAGCTTATTAGTTTGGAATGCTCGTCGCTTGAAGTGAAATTGACATATAGGCCTCTAGATTCCAATACAGCTATTGTTGGTCCACTCACAAAAAGGTTTGTGGTTTGTTATCGGGCTCTGGAGTTTCATCGCTCGTCGTAGTGTTAAGCGCCATGCTTGACGTTTCGAGTAAATTTTCCAGTTTGGTTCTTTTCCAGAAGGCATTTTATTGTTGTGTGCATTGTTTTACAAATGAAGGAGATTTCTGTAAAATCTCCCCATGATTGGTTCGATGTCGTGGTTTTAGACAATAAGATTCCTTCTCGTTTTTGTTCAGTAGTGACGATTGCGTATCTTCGGAAATTTCGCAACAAAGATTTGCTACAAATTAACACCTATACGAGGAGTATGATATATAGTGGCTTCATCAATATTGATTGCATTAATCACAGATCTCATCAATATTGATCACATTAAGGTCATCGTTGTTAATGACAAAACAAAGTGGAGAATTTGACTGAAAAAAATCGAGCTATATTTAGCACCTGTGGAATCAGGATTAATTTTAAAGACACCTCATACTTGTCGGTCAAGTGCTCCATGTCTTTTATATAAAGGAAAATTTCCATGCTGATTTTTTCTTGGTGTAGGCAGCTTGCCATTTCTTCTATTTCAGTAATTCCCTTCCACCTTATGGCTTCATGAAATCTTTACAGGCGGAACGTAAAACGGTGTTTGTATAATTATATTGAATAGTTGTGAGTTTCTATTTCTACGAATGTGCTAGCGAAGTGCTTAGAGGTGCCCTACAATACACACGGGTTCTATCCGGCGTCGCAGGCTCACCAAGCCTTCCATCTCTTCGGGGTCAGCAAACAGGTACTAAGAAGATGGCAGCAAGTCGATGCAGCAGTAGGCCACCGCAAGTCACGCTATAAGCCAGATATGAATCCAGTCATCTCTAACAATGCATAATGAAGTCTAATGCATGGTGCATCCCTCAGAGGGATTGATGAACGCCAAGAGCGCTAACTTTTCTTAGAGCTTTGAAAAATGAGCTTATGCGATGCTTCCATGGTGACGTCGTTGAAGTCTTCTGTTTGACACAAAGCTTAGGCAGATTCGCATACATTCTTTCTTTTCTATAAATAACTTTCCCTTGTTTTCTTGAAGAAACATACTATTAACAGAAACCAACGTCACGCTTTTGTTATTTCTTCAGGTTCTTATTCACAGCTTTTTCTTCAGTTATTACTCTGTGACTTTTTCCTCTTACAACGAGGTTTTCGAAAAGTCAGCAAAATGGGTAGAGCTTACACTCACAACACTAACGATTCTAACGAAATGTTATGACGGACAAATGTTTGATAGAGATCTACGAATGGCTTCAAACTGGTCAGCGAATTTGAATACCTCATTGTCATTGTCTTTTGTGCAGCGATTATACGAAGCTTTTCGGGATCCAAATTCCAGAGATGGTCATGAAGGCAAATTTCTAAGTAGACTGTTCTGATGTTAAAGATTAGGGCATAGTTCTGTTTCTGATATGTCATTAAGCGCTTTTGTGAGCCAGATAACCCGAGATTTGGTGATTTTTCAGTCATCGGTATCGCCGAAAGCACTATATGGCAAGCTAACTTCCTGGCTTGTCTTTTCTCGGTCATCCATGCTTTTTTAAAATCCTGGACCACTTGTTTAGGGATGCATGTCACGGTAAATACACAAACAGACAAATAAGTTTGCAAATCGTGGACATTGTTTTACGTTAAAGATGTCTTTCGTCTAAGTAAAAACAATGGATGCAGCGCATGAATCGATAATAAATCTCGGGAATTGGTCAAACATTTTCTTCATTGTCGCTAGGCAAAGAGACTACTCGAATTTCTAAAGGGCTTAGAAGTCAGACCTGATGTTCGCACGAGTTTAACTTGATTTCTTTGAAATTAGACGTCATTAAAATATTCCACACTCCACGTTCTAAAATAATAAATAATTAGCTGACACATTAACTTTTTATGGTTTTAGTGAGATAATTTCTTATCCCTTATTATCCTTTATATTTATCCCTTATCCTTTGTGGTTTTAGTACTCGAAAACGGTATTTGTTTCTGATAAGTCGATCGCTGAGCACAGTAATGGCGCTAATCCTCCTATACGTGGTAAATATCTGCTGGAAAGCAAACGGCTTCGCCTATGACAGTACTATGATCTTTTTATTGCTTGGTGGTCTCAACTTTGTTTCCATAACAGGCAGGTTTTCTATCAGTATTAATATGAAATATGGTGGAGTAGGATGAAAAAAACAATTACCAAGTGTCGTAGAGGTGATTGTGTGCACATTTGACCCAACAATGCTGGAGCCAGTTTCCCAACCATGGGGGATGAATGGCTGGGTTCGCCCGTGAGAGGAATTGGACTAAGAATCGTGTGCTTCGTACAGTAGCTCTAGCCACTGCTCTAATCGCCCACTGAAGACTTCACGTATACCCTTAATTAGAAGTGATTAGCGGTGTACAACTAGTAAAGGACTTGCAGAAGTTTTCTTTTCAGGTACTTACATCGCCCTTACTATTTTACTGTACACGGCCATCGTTCATCCTTTTTTCTACCAATCTAACACGACAATCAAACATTGCTATATACTTATTGCTTTCATTTGGCTTATTTCGACATTGGCATCGGTGAGATCTCTATACAGAATTGAACGTAGTATTTCTGTAACAATCATGATTTTATTTCGTTTCCTTAACCCTAGAATGCCAGAAGAAAGCTGAAATCACTTAAGATACTTGCAATTTATTATCAAAAGGAAACTAGAAAGGCAATATAAATATCCAAGCGCCTTAAAAAATCAGCGAGATAATCAACTTCATCATTGTCACATTAAAGGATTCAAGCTGGGCGCTCTCTAGTGACGCAATGACGTTGCTACTCATGAATTTCAGATTGCTGTTGGACTCTGGGGTGCTACTTTGTTTTATCCAGAAAGTGCTCCTGTGCGTTGTACATTTCGAGGATGTCAGAAGCTATTAGCGATTCTGATCGGTAAGTTACCTATGGCTTCGTAAGGAGAGCTTGCCGTTGACGGTTCCGATATAAATACGAGCAAATTATTGCGTTCTGTAACTGCCCAAGTATTTATTTTATTTTCATCTTTTTTGTCCTGCTTTATATTTATCCTTTTTTTATTTACCATTTTATATTTCTGCCCATTTAACATTTCTTTTTGTTAATTTTTTCCTTACCACGGCTTTTTTTTTCTAGAAGAGAGTTAAATACCATAGTTAAGGAAGTGAACTAAATGCAGTAGTTGAACTTCCTGTCCAAATGTTTGCCCATTGCACTTGCGCTATGTTTCAAAAGAATATCTGCTTAGAAGAATGAGAGGTAATAGGCTGAAATGTTTCTAGGAAGAAGGCTCTCATTAAAGTATAAATCTATTATTGATGGTGATTAACAGCAAATTTTGCTCAACGTTTTGATACTGTATATTTCAGTTATCGGCCTGTCGTTATCGTACGCTACCGTACTTGGACTATATGCTGTGCTCATTATACGGTTACATATCAAACTCCGTTCTAGCAAAGAAATAATAGTCGGAAATGTTCAGGTATAACTACCATGAATCACTAGTTGTTGCTAGATTTACTTCCTTCCAATTTCTTACAGATAGAAGTAAAAGCAAACTCTATGACATCTACCTCTTCTCTTCGTACTGGATTAATGCTCCGTTTTTACAATACTTGACAATCTCAATATATTCTCTATCAGGATTACATTAAGTGAGAGGAATTTTCTCGTGTCCTCAAAGAAGAATCGCAAAGTTTCAAGGTCTTTGCTAGAAATAGTTTACGACCTTTGTATAGTAGAACTCCGGGAGAAGTCAACGGAACTGGTTTAAAAGCTAAATACCGGCCATTGTGGAAGATGGACGTCTTACCAGACAACTTGTATCAATTTGCCGCGGTCAGATGGGTGACGGGCTGAGTTGATCTGAGACGTCGTTGAACCACTCTACGTTGTCGGTATATTAGAGACCATTTTTAACCACTGCGCTTCGCACACCTTCGCATTTGTAAGTAGAACGAAAAAAAACAAGTGAATTGTAACCGTAATGATGCTGAGAGATCTGCAAAACTCCGGACCGCAGATGTCTGCAGTGAGAATCGAACACGTATCACCCTTTCGGGGGCAGACACGTTCACCACCACACCGTGCTGGTTTTTCGTTTCGCCTTCCTTTCAGCCGTGTTTTATATATGCCCTCAACAATCACCCGTTAACAGGATTGATCTGGGGAGCAGAAATCGGCATTGAACCCACTTAAGCTGCAGCTGCAATATAAATTACAAAGTAATCACTCTTTATTTACTAACTATTCTTTTTTTATGGGTGGGTATGATGTCGAATAGAACTGCAATGACCTCGGAATGATTAATTTAGAGTGTTCGATCTCCACCTGAGACACCTACGGTCTGCAGTTCTGAAAAATCTCAGCATCGTTGCCGTTATAACTCGTATGTAATGCTGAGATATTTGCAAATATCTCAGCATTACATACGAGTTATATTTCGCAACATACCCTGCCATTAAGAAGAAAAAGGCAGTAAATAAAAGGGTTAAGGTTGCCGTTATATTTAACATCATACCTTGGTATGAAAAAGGAATAGGCAGTAAGTAAAAAGTGATCACATATGAATTGTGTAGTTGGAAAAATATGTTGCTTTCTAAATATCTAAATGATCGAAGCTCATTGGGACGCGCTGACTACAAAGAAACCTGATAACAATGTAGGATTAACATGGGTGAACTTTATATTCGTCTCACTAAACGAAATGTGTTTTTTTCTTGGTTTAGGAAATTTCTCATAGTTTTTAGTGTGAGTCCAGTATGGAACGTCAGTTGATTCATATTCGTGCAATGAATCGACTCGGTATGAATATGCTCACGTTTGCTGTCGGATCAATACCTATACTTATCGTATGCATTGTCGCTTTGGTGAATCTACGAAGTCTGAGCTCACTTGGTGACTACACAGTTTTGTATTTTACTCGTCCTTGAATTTCTAGCACTTGATTTCTTATATTATAGACACATATAGTATCCACATTATCGTTTTGTTTTTATTCAACACTGCCCTTTTCTTTTCCCCTCCTTCAGTATTTGAGAAGCAACCGATGATTTCAGGAGAAGGAGAAAAGTCACCTTGCAAGACGTATCTTAATAGTCGTTTATTCGTTGAGGTAGAACTTCTAGCCAGTAGTGCGGCGGTAGTATGGTGAGCTTCCACATTTCTGATAGTTGACAACATTGAAATAAAGTGTTATGCAAGACTAACAGACGATGAACATTGATAACACGTGGGCCTAATAGACATAATTCTCTTTTGTGACTGTAGCCGGGAAAAGTTTGTTTTTTTCATGCATATCGATCATTTACAAACATGTGTGGTTGTTTTCAGCGAAACCAGTAGTAGCTCTTTATAAGAGATGTAAACCAACCATGGAAAGCAGCCAATCCTTCTTGGCTGTAAATTTGGTGTCAACCATAGATTCTGTTCTTCAACACAGTTAACCACAGGCCATAGATAATAAGCAGCATGCTTTGGTTCCTCATCCTTTTTCAAAAGCATTTTGGACCGTGTTTCCCATCTTGTACTAGGACCAGGTTTTTATTAGCTTCAGCGTTGACAATATCTTGTTTATTTACAAGTATACACTATTATTATGCTGTTTACATGACGGCAGGTAAGGTTTAGTGTTTATATGGAAAGTTTTTAAAAAGTTTAGTTAAGCTTAGTCTTTTTCGGGTTCTCGAAATGTGCCGAAAAACTCAATCCTAAGTTTCAATCGCTTTGGAAAAAGCTTGTTTTGAATTCACTCATAATTTTATTCTGTGTAAGTCTTCCAGTTGTATGATGGAGACCAACCTCAAAGAGTCTCACATGGGTGAGAAATGTGCTTAGCTTAGGTTAAAGAAAAACAGCTTGAGGTGCGATGTTACGCGCGATGATCACAAATCATTCTTATGCGAGGATTATGACTTCTACTTAAACTCTTTCCCGTTATGTCTCTGTGTGCTATATGGGCCTAGTGGGGTATATTGTTCAATTCTAACTTAACCATCTAGAGGTGATCTATTATACAGGCAGAGGGTGGTCTTCCCGTTTCATCAGTCTATTGGTCATCTCCTCCCACGCATTATTCCTGTTTCTTATCGTTTTCCCTTCTATATGATATCTTTGCTTTCGTTATTTAGTTTAATAATCTGTAATTTTAGGTTATTGGCCATGATTCTGGATCCGATTATCAACACCGTTGCTGACCAAAAAATCATGGCAATGCTTCACGATTGGGTAAGGACTCATATTAGAGTTATTAATACATATACTGAAGTATATAGTCTTATCTAGTGTTTTTAAACTATTTTTTAGTAAAAGAATAATTGTCGGAGCTGTGCAATGATTGGTTTTAGTTGCGCTACTTTCGAACAACTATGAAGCCTGCCAGACGGAGATTTGTGGTGACTACGGTAGACGATAGGGACGTCGTCAGGAATAATTAATGGAATAACTCAGGACTTTTCATAGCTTTAAAACTTTTACTTGACCTAATAATACAGGTATATTGTTTCCTTGGTTTAAGATGAGCATATCAGTTCTTACTAATTGTATTGTTGTATCTCTCGGGTTTATCAATTCATAACTACTTGACGAGTGCTTGTGCATGTGAATCTTCATAGCGTTCACTGTAACTTATTTTTGAAAAAGCTTTAGCATGATGTTTTCTTGTGCTATGAGTGACTTTGCGGTTGTTCTTATTTGCAAATAAACAAGTGACCGATCACATTTTTCTGAAGTTTTCGTCCAGTAATATGGCGTCGTAGAAGTGATATCAATTTATTACTGGCTGAGAATATAGATAGAAATCGCAGATTCCTCAGTTCGCGTAACTTTGCCGAGATATGTATCCTCCGCTTGTTTCATGTATTTTTGCCCTCTTGGAAGGAAACATTTCGCCAGACGGCAAACTTCCCGCAAACCTTCACTATGAATATCTCAGTAAAAGTCTCGTGAGATTATTTCATCGCTTGCGGAATCCAGTACGATTTTTGGTAATACTTAAATATGCAGATAGAAGAATAATATGCTTACTCTGAAGTAATTTCTTTTCTAACATGTTCAAGGCAACGTGACCTCAAGTGGCATCATACAAGGTGGAAATGACCAACGATTTAAAATGCAGACAGCCATTTCTCGGTACACGCTAACGTTAATGTTGCCGATAAATTAGAAACCGCTGCTTATAAGACGCACATACTCTATCACGATAAAATTCTGATTTCTCACAACAAACTGGACGTACAACCACAACGATGCTGAGATATAAGCAAAACTCGGAGCCTTAGGTAAGTTCTTTTCTTCGTGGTAGGTTTACAGATTAACCGACTAGCAAAAAAAAATAATACGCAATATCACCCACGTTTGAGCCAAACAAGGCCGAATCTGGACACTTATGGAAGACTCGGTTAACTGGTATCGAGGTTGGAAACTGTCGCCGCAAAGTTGGAGGGTCTCCACCCGAGCACTCGACAGTGTGACTCAAAGCCTCCGCCTGGTGATGAAACTCTTATGTCTGTTGAAACTCCTCATCATGTGAAAGCTTTCGATAGTGCGTTGTCGGATGTGGTCGAGCGACAAGTCTATATGATCAAATTGGAGGAGATGTCATTGCTTTGCAAAGGATGGTGACAGCCGTGTTCATTTAGTTTTCTACGATTCCCTTTCTGGACAGCTGCTAGTCAGCCGGGACCATCATCTGGCGCGGTCCAAAAATTGGTTTCACCCATTGTGAATCTCTTATCAGAGGTCAATAAAGGTCAATAAAGTCGAGGATTCGAAGAGTAATATACCGCAGTTCAATCATCTTTGTGCTCTTGCGGAGGGTATTCCAGCAGTTGGATGGGTTTTAGTGAAGAAAACACGTGCACATTACGTGAAGGAGGTGTTATAATCCGCAATATAATACGCATTAATTAAAAATTAAGACGTTATAATTCCAACAAAACGTATTTTGTCACTTTTATTTTGTCCTCCCAACGGCTTACTGCCTCGTGATGGCTAGGAGGTGTTGCTAGTTGTTCGGCTACGATGATTAGCGGGAGAGTTCATCCCCCTGAAGGGCTTCCCACGCAGAGAACGAGGCCGACGCTTTCATCAGGAAATCAAGCTAAAGTAAACCAATACCAGATCGCCGTCTTGGTACAAAACAAATCGCATGGTGGCAAATCTTCCTCGGTTCCACAGTGGTGGTAAAGACCAGTGGAAGACTTCGGCTAGTCTAGCCTCAGAACTTCAAGAAACTACTGCAGCTGAACCACCATATCTGCTGAGATTGAAATTATGTTGATGCCCGCACAACCAATGATGTCGGCCCGTCCAAGTATCCAAGTGAGTTTTTTCGTCAAGGGTCGTACGATAGACACGAAAGCAATTGAACGAAGAAGATGTTGTTCAGCAAGGTACGATGGTGTTCTGCAGTACTTTTTTTTACATGGCCTTTCATCACATCTACTGTGAGGATCCCAGCTCTCCTTCCGTTCGATTCATTTTTGCCCGTATTCATCGTCCACAGCGTTCTTCAAACATTTCACGTGTTGTTTCGCTTACAGTACTGGTTGAGTCGATTCTTCTTACAGTCTTGGGAGAAACTGGCCAAGATGCTCCCACGTGGTTGGAGGAGACCACTGGGGAGAGTCTAGGGCTACGTCACTGCTTTCTGATCGACAGCATCACAAACCAGTGTGCTACCCTTCTCGTTACACAGCACAGCGCCTTTTATGGCTACAGCGCTTGCTTTCGATTCTTCATTGATTATTCTTTTCACTCCTTCCACAATTTTGATTCCAAGCAAATTTAAAACTAAGCACATGCCTTATGAAAGCTGTGTACGAATCGAAGTGATGAAGCATAGCCGATTACACAGCTTTGCATGCTTCCCAACTTCTTTATTACTCTATTAGTGCGAAAAACATGTTTTTTTTTGTCAAAAACCCACTTTGGTTGTGAATCTCGTAAATGTCATCTGAATCTACAATGTATACTTTCAATAAGACGACCGTGACAGATTCAAAAAAAAAGCATTCATCCTTAATTTAGTCAATCATCGTCATCCTCAAGTAATGAGCTACTTCTACTACTTTTTAGTGTTCTATCATATTGTTCGTCAATGATATCCAATGAATGGTAGTTTAAGAACCTCCACAATGCAAAATCTTCTTACCGCAAGTCGGTTATTGACGAAGCTACATGTTGTGCGCGCAAGAGGCAGACAAGAAATTGAACGCGGAACGAGACGACCACCACAAGCCTTGAGGCGCTGATGAATTCAGATGGACAAGGCCGGACTGACTTATATTTTCCGCTCGCACATAATTACATTCTCACAGAGCTATTCAAGAGCGTTTGCACTAGAAAAGATTGCACACAGTATGCTGAAATGTTTCGAAACTTATGCCTAGAATGCTCTGAACTACAAAAGAAGAAGTTCGTAAACGTCTCCATTAAGCAAGCCCTATCTACTTTACTATCTTATATGGAGTTCGAAACAAATTACCCATTAGTATACGTGCTTTTTTTTAGCCGTTGATGGGAGGGCAAGATGGCCTACCTCTGGATTTCTTTCTACGGAAAAAGTTATACAGAGGGTCTTAGGGAGCAGAGACAGATTAAGATCCAGTTTATTGAGGTTATTAGAGTAAAAAAAAAACTATCGGCTTTAATCAATCCTGAGGGATGCGCCATGTATTCGACTCTATTCATCATCGTTTGGAGGTGATTGGGTGCATATCTGGCTTTTACGGTGGTCTACCGATGTATCGAGCCAGTGCCGGTATTTCCTAAACAACTCTGGCACCAATTTGCCAACCTCGGAAAGATGCAAGGTTTGGTGAGGAAACCTTTAGGGCGGAATCGACGCCATGTGTTTTGCAGGGCGCCTCCGACCACTGCGCTGCACGTGCTCCTATTACTAGAGTATGTTGCAGTTATTCGATGATATTAACAAGAAAAAGAACTATACAACTGACTAGAAACTAAACAATTCCATCCACGATGATGCCTATATGAGGAAAAACTGGTACATCAACGAGGGTGAATGACGGCACTTTTTTTGAACGTTTATGTCTATTGATGTAGGTGTTGACTAGATAGTGAAGAATTTGTGTCGGTTCGATGTTGTTGTTAGCGGCTTTGAATTGGCGAAGACGACAACACTTAACTGGC